TATCATAAAGTCACATAGTAGGCAGCCAAAAAGCATATAAATACCAAAACTCGAAAAATGCAATTTTGTTTGTTTACAAAAATTGCAACCATGTGTTTTGTGATCATATGTTTTCGTGTTGGATAATTTTTGCTGACTACGCTTCTTTTTCTCTTGCATCAAAATGAACGCTTGCTCCCTCAATTTTTATGTGTTGGATATTTTTTGTCGTTATGGAACGCCATCCAGTAAAAATTTGGGAAAACTATTACAAAATTTTTTGATAATTGAAGCCTACTTCAGAATGAATTCCACCTATGTAGCATCCTAATAGCTATTTATCTTATCGCTAATTAAATTAACTGTCACATCAGTGTATGTTTTAGTCAATAAAACAGCTGAATGCTTATCAATATTTTTTTTTTTATTTTAACTTTATATAAAGAGGATTTTAATTTGCTAGGTAGAGATAACAAACGTCAAAACTAAGTTATTTACGAATTATATAAAAAGTCGTCGATAAACTCAAGCAAGTGATAAGCAACGCTGTTGTTTGTCTATAGGTACGTAAATATGATATTAATTTGTCGAAAAAAATCAACACTGCTAACAGCAGTTTGCTTAGTATTTAGCGCTTATCAATATATAAATATCCTGAAGATAATTTTGATAAGATAACGTGTGTGCTTAAAGATTAGATAACTGTTTTTTCGGTGTACACAAACAGAGCACCATACGATAAGGTAGTGTGGTGTGATGGCGCGGTCACTGACTATTTAAAAAAGTATACAGTCGTATTATTATCATATCTTAATGCTAATTTTTACAATTTAATTATGATATGCTGATTATTCTTGCATCATTGAGGAAATGACCAAGTAGTAAAAAGTTTTGCAATACTTTTCTAAAGAGTTTGCTCTGTTTACGTTTTTGGATACGAATTTGAAGTTGCTCCTCTTCTGAAAGAAATTGAGACTGAGGTCTCACCCAAACACATTGTGGGTCAAGTATATTTCCTACAAATGAGCTGATTACCCCTAATGTCCTATCACTTTTGAAACATTTAACCCGTAAAAATTTTCTTCGCCGTATATTTTTGTTAAAATTTCGTGTATTATCAACCGTTGCATTCCTCTCACTGCCAAACGAGCAATGGATACGCCTACTAATGTGCAACATGAATAGTATTTACGTATGTATGCTATTTACTTGTTATTCGTTGCGTTTGTCTAGCGTATGTCTGCAATTCCCAACGGTGATATGAAATACTTTCTTTAAGGCGCAATTACAAATGACTACTTCAAGCTCTTACCTCATAAAAACTAGACTTCTTTAAAAGAAATTTAAATAGATTTTGAAAACTCAGCACCCACAAAATTTATTATTATAAGTATTATCATCTAACGCTCTCTTTTCTGGCCTTGGAAAATCACTCTCCGCAACCTTCTCAGCTACACAGGGGCACCTAGACTTCCGGAGCTGCAACAGTTCCTACTTCTTTAACTCCTTAAGCACGTTCTAACGTGATAACCTACCTTGACGTTGTATTTTCCAGGTTAAAGTTATTTTTTAAGCAGTAAATTTACTGGAATCTGTTATCTCTTTTATTCTTACTCGCTTGTAATATTTCTATATAAATATTTGCTTATAATTTTCTTCGAAACCTACAGATAAACGCGCATTTGGTAGAACTGGAACAAAAGCAGCGCTGATAAGAAGCTGATAATGTATGGAATATTATCAAAAAAAATAAAAAATATTATAAAGATTACAAAACGGCATAAATTAAACTAAGAAGCTGAGCAGGAACTGTTCTGTCGAACTTTAAGGATATGCGCATACGGCAAAAATGAATGCTACGTACGAGTAATAAAATGACATAGAAAGTACTGATAAGAAAATATTTTCTTGAGAAAAAGTTAATTATCTTCTGCTTACAAAATGTATTTGTTTAAATTAATGGAAAAAGTAAGTTGAACGCAATAAAACGTATGAGATAAGATACGGACGTGCCTTAACACACACAGAAACTGAATACTATTGCGCTCGTTCAACGCTTATCAGCGAGTCGTGTCATAAGAAAATCCAAAAATAAACAAATATGTATTACACATTTCGAATAAGTTCCCTTGTGTGCTCGCTCGAAATATGTACAAATGTATGATTGTCCCTTATAGGTAGTTTCCACGCCACCAAAATTACGCAATCTCAACACTATCCTCAATTTCAGCTGAAATTGCCATACGATTCTCAATTTTGACATGCAAAAACCTGTCACCTGAAACTGAGAACGAATTTCACTGAAACTGTGACGAAATTGCCTCAACTTCGCGAATACAACGTGGCAGAATTATTATTAACGATAAACGAGGAAAACGAAAAAACGAAAATTGAGTGGCGCGTGTAAACAGCTATAATTTCAAATTGAAATTGAGTGTTGAATTTGCTCAATTTGGGCATTGTGGAAACTCCCTATCATGACTTGATAACGTGTTGCTGGGTTATCAGCTGAAATTCGAGTAACAGCAATGCTGCAAAAGCGCCTTTGTCTAGGCCGAAAGCAGAGATAAGATAAGTCAGGCAACACAATAAATATATTTTTTCCTACAATTAAATTAAATATTTGAACATATGCATTTGCTTTTGAGTTAAAAACTAAATTAAAAATATACTGAAAGCGGAAGCAACAGCTGTAGGCAGTGAGCGCTTGTCGGCCGCGGTACGGCTGTGGTTAGAGCGCTGTCACCCACGAACGTGAACGTAGCGTAGCGTAGAAGTACGTAGAAACATATCAAGTTTGCTGTTGATAGAAAGAGAGGGAAGCAACGTCTACGTCACGTGTGGTGGAGAGTTTTTGTTAACACGCAGATTCCATAAGATAGATCGAGTCAGCTGACACGTTCTCCGTTTTCACGTCCGTGAGTAACTGCGCTTTTAGTTGGTAGCAAAATTGCCGCCTACTTGCATGACATTAAAAATTATACCAGAACTGATAACTAGTCGTATGCAGCAATTTGTGTTTGGGCGCGCGCTTATCGCTGCTGTTTACTTTAAACGCGCGATTGGTTACTGATCAGCAAGGCACACAAATGGACATACATGTATACATACAAACACTTTGCACTCACTCTCCCGCATATAGTACACAACAATGTGGCATTTCATAATTCGATCGTTGATCACCTCGTTTGTATAGTAAATATTCATAGAAGCGTAACGAAAAATGTTTAGCAGGGCGATAACTGAAGTTCGTTTATTCAATTGACTGCTTCCAATGCAGTGCACGCAGAAGAAGAAGAATAAAAAACAAGAACGTCAAAAAATTACACAATGGAAGTTCTCTCGGGTACGGCGAGCTTAGTGTTCGTCCGATACCACCATGTACTCGATACCAGTACTCATTTTAGAACATCGAAAGGGGTACTCGATGCTACTCAAATTATCGCTAGAAAATACTCGATTCTAATTGTACTCAAGAGTACTCAGACGAAATATTTCAAAATAGTTTTGCAATTTTTTTTAATTAATAAAACCATCTTTTGTGTGTTACACATGGGATGCGGCTGGGATACATACATACATGCTAGAAATCTAACACAATTTTACGTGTCAAACTTCATACTCCAACTTGTGGCAACTTTACTAATTTTCACTAGAGTTGCATAAATTTTTCGACCGAGTAAATACTTGCACAATGTACTCGATACCCACCAAGTACTTGGTCCCATGTATCGAAGTACAAAAAATACTCGGTAGTTGGTAGAGGTACTCAAGTATTTACTCATATGTACTCGTATCGGAACATCACTAGGCGAGCTATACAATTCACACACTCTCTCGCGGCCTCCTCGTTCCCCGCAATCTTCAAATGACATGAATCAGTATCATAGAAAAGTAAATAAAAATATTAATCGTTGTTACAAACGTTCACACTTCCGATATGCCTCTCAAATTCGTTACCTCTCTGTATCCATTTGGCCTCAGTTTGTGTAACTGTTGGCTTTGCCTCATGCACGCTGATAACGCGCGTCCCCATAACATTTACGCCATGTCAAAATACATACAGCTGTTGACAACTGATATCAATACTCTACTGTGTATATATGTAGTACGTATATGTGACAGATGCGTTCGCATCCTTCATATGTGCACGCAAATGTCAGATAGTGTGTAATCACTCACCGATAAGAGCGTTTTTTTTCTGCATTTTAATTCGTCAACGCAACGTAAATTTAGTTAAAAATAGCTGGTTGTCATGTCTGTCAACACGATTGACATTTGTGTGTTGACGTTGACAATTGTGGGCAAGGCGTTGAAATGAAAAAAAATTCACAGCCTATACATACGCCTGTTAACGATTTAGTAAAGGAAAAAAAATCGTTTTTTTTTACGTTTAAAAGGCGAGTATATGTATACAAATGTATGGAAAACTATAGGTATATCTGACATTTCTAACGTTTTATTGGCAATCGAAAAATGTCGGAAAAAAATTTACATATGCAAATTTATTGACTCTTTTGTGCATGAATAAAGCACAGTTCTGAGTGCTTATTTTTTGTACATATGTGTGTATGTACATAAATATGATGATCAGTTTGATAGCGCCAAGGTCTCTGAGCTTTGAGTTTCGAAGGTCGCATATTAGAAATTTTTTAAAGTTTAGAATATCTTTACTCTTAGAAATATTCCAATGCAAGTACTATACCAGTATACTTACAATAAAAATGAATGTTCTTAATTTTTCTAAATATTGCTATGAGAGCTCAAGGACCGTTTTCAAAGTGCGAGTTATTAAGCGGGTTCGATAGGTTGCTTCTAAATTTTGTAATGAAATTCGAAAGGTAACTACCGAACATGAGTTGATTCTTCACTTTAAAATCTTGAAAGCATCAAGTGTACCCAAATCTTTCGCCACTTCAAATTTCCAATGCAAAAGCGGTTTTACCTTTGCTTTTAGAAAGTTTGCGTCTGGGTCCTACTGACAGAATCATCTTTGGACGGCAAAGTAAGACCGCATACTCTATGATACCACAGGGCTGAAAATCTATCACTATACCCTGAAACTATTTGTTGTACCTGAAGAGTTTCCTCGATGTTCCGACCTCACTTGATTTCAGGCGAAGCTCGCTGCAAAAATGACTACAGAGAGAGTTCTAGATCTTCGCCTGACCAGCATCGGACAGTGGTAGTCGGCTTATACAAAACCCATGTGTTTGATTTACTTTTCGATCCCCTTACCTTCAACTTCGACGGCCGTCTTCGTGGTGAATAGATACTAGTTTCGTCTACATTTATGGCTCCGAACAAAATGACTTGACATTTTGCGAGAAACTAATCACCAAACCCTCTTTAGAATCAAATATGCGCAAAAGAAGTCTAAAAAATTTAATCCACAAAATTTCACTCAACTAGTATTGAGGTCTACGTCTTTCATTTTGAGGTTGAGAGTTAAATATGTATTCTATATCCTGGTAAGATATTTCGTTAAATACACTCTATAGATTCGTGGGACTCTATAGATTTCTGGGACGTGTTTCCTGGAAACCGGAAGCCAGCCGGTAATATCTGCTAGGTCACGAAAACGACTTCTATAAGCTGCCAGTTTTTGGCATATAGCAAAGATTCTGAAGTCTATCAAGTCTGTGAAACTTTGGAAGGAAATATTATGTTTAAATACTAGTGATGTGTTTAATTCTAAGCTGACTACTTCAAAGCCTCTTCCTCGCTCGCCTTTAAAGATTTTCTCTTTGTTGATTACATAAATAGTTTCAGAAAATGTTCCCAATGTCTAAAACAACTCATCTTTTTATATGCAACTTAACCTCTATTAGAAAATCGTGGAATAGATTAATCGATTGATGTACATATTTTTATTTACATATTTACGAAGCCACAGTTCAATAGAATTCAGTTGTCAGCCTACGAATCAAACGAATATAATTGTTTGCTCAAAATAATAATGATAATTAGACGAATAGCTAATTAAAATGATGAAATCGATAAATAGCGTTGTGTATGCAATGCTCTGCTGCTAAGTGAGATGTGGCGATTGTGTGAGACTGAATGAGTGTTAATTGTGAAATTGAGGGACATGATAATGACTGAAGGCTGTTAAACAAAGATTCTAAGGATTTCACACAGAAACTATTTTACATATGTACATACCACATATACATATTATCCCAGGAAACAGACAGTCAAACGGTATTGGAACATTGGTAAAGGGTTGTTAGATGAGTTAGCTTGAGTGTGCATCTGAAGAGGAGAACTTGCGGCATACGTTGAATATGTAGGGGTTGACTCGATATATGTATGTATAGTTCAACCCGCTACAATATCAAAAACGGTATTTTCCAAAGAAAGTCGGGTTTCATGATGGAACTCCAACTCTTCGTCGGCAATAAGTGGTGTTTGGAATCCGATGGCAGCCTTCATGGGACGAGAGTTGTTAATTAACTCTCGCCGAATGCCGTTTATGATCTGACTCCATAGATGGCGCACTTCTAACTGAACTAGGTCTTTGAGATATACGTATGGCTTTTGACAAGCCTGGTAGGAGGCACGCCTTCAAGCATGTACCTGAAACGTTGGTCACTACGGTAGTAATGATTGCTTATCATGATGCTATACTTCTTAAATGGGAGAATAAGGGTCTCGCTAGGTAAATGGTGCTTAGGCGGCATCAGAATGTATTCCTTAGCAGTGGTAAGTGCAGCATTCTGAATGGTCTGGAGCTTCGCCACCTTTGTCTTCTACAGCTCTCTGGCTAATTAAATGTGGGTAATCTAAGGAGCTCCGATTTCGCTTTTGTCAATATTTATATCTTAGTTGGCCGATATATCGAACGCGGCGACTCTGTGCTATGTAGTTTTTCTTGAATATGGTGTTTGTTTTGATTCTTCTGCTTATTTCGAATTTTTTGCTTCTTCAAAAAGTCTGTTGCAATAGCTATTGGTAACGCTATTTAATGAACATCCCCGCTTCGTTTAAGAAACTTGCTTGCAGATATTCTATTATAAGATTCCCCAAAAGCAACAAAGAAGTTAGGCAGGCCAGCCGGAATGCAAAGTGCAAACTTGGAAAGTTACTGAGCAAAACCAGCAAGTGAGTTAACTGACACTTGGTCACTAAGATAACCAGTTATACAGCTTGCCAGTTACATATGTATATTGTATGTTGATGTAGGTAGGCAGTAAGGTAATCAGCAACTAGCTAGACGAGCGGCCGGTTTGAGTGTCGTCGCTTTACAACAAAAATAAAACAGCAGGTTCTGATACCAAATACAACACAAAAACACATTCAGAAGTAGTATCTCGCTATAGCGCATACATATTTCTCAAGATTTATTCTCGCGCTTTTCGCACACATGCAACGAACCGGTTACTTGGCGTTCTAATTTAGAGGGGACCTGCGGAGGCCCCACGAGTAGCAGTACGATAGTTAAACGTAGGCATTTACTATGCGCTGGTTAACGCTTCTCAGGCATCTAGATATTATATATGTATGTATATGTACGTTTATATTGGGGCAAGTAAACGAGTTACGTATGTTTGTTGTCGACATTGCCAGCATTGTCGTCGCAATTGTGCTCGTTTTCTGTTGTCATTTTTATCGTTGTCTCGTTGTTGTTACCGCCTATATTGATGTTCTTGTATACGTTTGTTATTGCCAAGCTTTTTGCAGTCGTTTTCGTCGCGTTCGCTTTTGGCGTTCTCAAATGAAAACAAGTTTAATGACGACGTCAATGGCGGTGACTACGTTGACAACGGCCGCTATGTATATGTAATGTTCTTAGTATATGTACATACGTATAGTAAGTATGATGTGAAAAAAGATGCAAAAAACCGCTTAACTAAAGCAAAGCATGTGGAGAATACAGCAAAAGAAAAATGCGTCGTAGAAGCAGAAAATGAAAACAAAAATGAATGTGTAACTCACTTGGAAAGCCAAAGAGGCAAATTTGCGTGCGGTTACAAGGGATGCAAGCGGATATACAAATTTAGCTACATTTATGTATGTACATATGTACGTATATGCAAATGCAACTGAGTAAGCATGGATATACGACGACAAAATTTTGCACGATTTTCTGGCGACTTGCCAACGAAACGAATTTAGTATACTAGAAAAGAAACCGTAAAATGATGGCGGTAAAATACACATGTAGGTACCATATATATCAGGCGGCTGCTGACGTTGCGCACCACACTAATAATGTTGTACAGACATAATAATAATAATGACGATGATGACGTTGTGGCATATGAAAAGCAAGGAAATGACGATGTTGATGAGGAAGCAACGAAGCTGGCACAAAGCGCGCGCTCTATGTACATATGTATGTATATATGTAGATCATAATAATGCTGTTCAGACTAGTGAATTATGTGATTAAGTTGTTGTTGTTGTGATGAAGCTTTGTGCTTGCTGATGAATGCTGCCTCTTTATTATGTATGAAACACGTTGCTGCGCATGACACTTTCTTCGAGAAAAACAACAAAAAAAAAAACAAAAGAGCAATGCAAAAGCGAATGCACCATAAACGTTCAAATGCTGGGCAGAGTTTTGGGTCGTTCATGCATGAATGCATTGCACACACATAAACACGCTTGGAGTATACAATACTTATATCTTTTCTCTATACCTAACTGCCCTGGGACGTTTGCCAATTGCACGTTTTTGCAAATTCGCTTGGCAACCGTTTCTGATATGCACCACTGCTGCTGCTGCTTGGCCGACGCAGACGCAGTGCTGATGTCGTGCTAACTAGTGTAGATACACATCGGACAACAACGACACGCCGTGCTCGCCATTCGCTTGGGGTAACCTCGTTACAATTGTGTAGTGTCAAAAACGTAAGAGGTCGCCGCCACCACCGCCACCCTCTTATGAACCAAACCCAAAAAAGTAGCGCATATATATGTACAAAACAACCCAATTACAAGTGGTAACGATAAGTCTACAGCTAGCTACCCCATCATCATTACGGCTACGTATCTAGCTAAAGTAGAAAAACAACAAGAAGCACTATTATACACAGCTGAATTCTTGCACTACACGCAACAGAAAGCCACACAACACTACTACGTACAAAATCAACAACAACGTTCGTACATATAAATTTTGTATAAAGTATACATAAAGAAAGTAAAAAGTAAGAATTGGCAGGAAAGTGTATAGAAAATATAAAATGAAAAAAAAACTATAAGAATTCTCCGTTGCTAGATACATAAAACTGACGCGCCAGGCCGATTGCGAAGCACCACCGCCCAACTTAGTCGTAGTGGGTGTCAGTCGAGGGTTGAACGTATGTATACACCTAATTTTCTTTGAGAAGATGAATGCACACATTGCACTGTTTTTATATATAATTTTCATAGTCTCTGTGTGTAAACACTACCTTATAAATACATACATAAGCATCGATAAGCTAAGTTAGCGCGCTCTTGGTCGATAGTAAATCGATTAGAAGCATCAAGCGAATTTTTGAAATGTATCAAAGGATACAAAATAATCGATAATAATGATAATTAAAATAACATTCTCTTGGCGCTTGGACTTTTGCTAAGCTTTCTGAATGTGGGTATCCATTGCTTCGTTGTCTAATCTAACCTTACTTAGCCCGAATTTTGATGTTCTTACCTTCAATATATTTTCTGCCGATATTTTTTTCTTTTTACTTCAATCATTTTAGGTTTAAATTTCTGTTCTAAAGTTCATTCCCTAATCACAGCATTACGTATTCTTCTTTAATGGGTTCACTTATCTGTTAAAGTTATCATCAGCAGAACTGATGCCTGATTCATTAAAACTTAGCTCTGAGTTTAACCTTTCAAAAGCTTTTATTACTCTTCAGCACACTTTTATTACTTTAGAGCAGACAATTAAATTATCGGCAATAGTATTAGGCAACACAACAAACATTAAATTGAAGACTATATGTGTCCCTTATCAGTCAGTCAAGGATGAATGTGCTATTATATGAACACAATAAATCAATAAATATGTTTTTCTTCATACATACACACATAGCAAGCACGAACTTTGATTTGAGCCGCATTGAAATTTTTCAACGTTAAGTTCTCTTATCAGTATTCCTTTTATCAACGTTCAATTCTTTATCAATGTTTATTTTTACATATCAGCACTTTCCCTTATCAAATAAAAATTTTATTTTTTTTTCAATGTATATACATATATACCACCTATGCGCTATCTTCTTCAAATATTGGAATGTGTAGAGTAAATGCTGAGATGAGTTAATAGTTTAGAAAACGATTCAAAGTTGGTTATTGATAAAAAATATATTTGGGAATATAATGCATGTGAGAATGGAAAATTTAAATGGAATTTTAAACAGACGGCACCAGTTAAAAATTAAAATTTTCCGAATAATCGAATGATAGATAGCGTCAAAAATCTCACCAATTCGTAATAGAAAATGAGGAATACTTCTTCTTCGCAACCCCAAGGATAATTCGGATCTCTGGAGTCCGCAGAAACTTATTAGAAGTCACGTTCTCTAACGAGTGAGTTCCCATTTCTATACGGCCAGAGTTTGTTTTGAAAAAGCTTACATCATCCAGCAGATCTTCATTTCGAAACAATAAAGGGAAATACGAAAATAGTTTAAGGCCTTACACTAAACCCAAGCACAAATAAAACACACACAATTAGCGCAACAATTATTTAACTACAATTATACCAAGAACACGAAGCACAGATGTAGATAATTGCAAAACCGATGATTAGTTAATTAGTTAATTAGTGATCATATGTATAATGGACCGATTGACCTATAGAAATTTACAAGCTCTTGTGATCCCTAGCCACTGCATCGATGAGTTTGTGAAGATATCCAACAACAACAACTGTGTCATGGTGCTAATGTACTATGTGACGTAATGAGTATGTTACAAATAGTCTTAAGCACTTAAACTTTTCAGAAAATGGTATTGCTTTCTTAAACTTACCACCCGGCTTGAAGGAGGATGCATCAAATGATGGTGCCCGTACTGGTTGATGCTTATCTCGCAAACCTGCTTGTCGATCGGGTACAAAGGAAACAGCAGCCGGCAATGATTCGCCACGTGTTAGCGGTGGTCGCGGTACATTGGGATCATCGATGGCGCTACGCTTCATGGCACTCGGTCCGCCACCAGCAATACCACCACCACCGCCGCCGCCCCCCACCATCACCACCATGCGTATGATCATCATCCTCGGAGGGGGGGACGCTTCAAGTTCACCGATAACGCTGGTGGCACTGGACCCACTACACCCACGTTGGAGGCGACTGCAGCTGCCGCCGCAGCAGCAACAGCACGATTTGTCATTGACATATGATGCGGTGCCATATGTGAGATCCGCACTGGACGTACATTAGCGTCGTGCGCCTCCATTTTCACTGGGAAATCCATAAGACCGGTAGCTTGTGGTGGCGGTGGACCGATGCGTTGTGTCGCATAGCCATGATGATGTTGCTGCTGCTGTTGTGGACCGACAACCCCAACACCGACGCCCACACTAATAGGCGCACCGCTTGCGCTGCGATGTTGCGCTTGTGCTGCTGCAACGGCTGCTTGTTGTTGCTGTTGTGCCTGCTGTTGTTGTTGTGCGACCACCTCTCCATTCTCGTGACTACGCTTGGCGGCCTGATGTAAACGTTTCATTTGACGCGCGGCATCTAAGACAAGCTCAATGCGGTCGGCGCCCTCATAGTTGACGCAGCCGCGGCAAACGGACTCGGAGAAGTCATTGATCATGGCCCAAGGCATGCGGGGAAGATCGCACAGATAACAGTGTTGACGCTTAGTTTGCAGTGACATGTTGGTGGTGAAGGGGTTGTTGCTGTGGGTGAAGGTGAGTGTGTGCCGGGTCTGGTGGTGCGAGTGCTGGTGTGGTTGATAATGTTGTGGATGTGGGTGGGTTGTTGTTGTGGGTCGTTCAATGGTGGCTGTTGCGCACGAATGCGTTGTTTTTTTTTGGCGCGCACTTGCAGCACGCTTTTAAATTAGGGCTTAAGAAGTCGCAACTTGGCAAGTGTTTTGGATTTTAATTCACAAATTTAGTGGAGTGCACGTGTTTGTGTGTCTGAAAGATGTTGCACGAACTGTTTTTCACGCGCACGCTTGCCCGCTAAGGTCGCAGCTGTTGTATAGTAACGTAATGGAACGGCCAAAAAGGTTACAGATGCAAACGCGCTTTCTCTGGTTGGAAGCGCGTGCACTTTGTTGGAATATAAAAATTGATTCGTCGCTTGCAAATCTCTATACTGCCACCTCTAGTGCCTTGTTAAGTTAAAGTTTAATTGACGTCCATGCAAATTAAAAAAAAAAACTTGACTTTCAAAACATGTTTTCTTCACTTCGGCGCGCGGCAGTACTAATTCACTTCAAATGCTGACTATTGCTGCTGCTAGGCGACTTCATAAGCCGCAACACATGCGGCAATTGTGGATTTTCCATTTTAGCGTTTACCTTCTGTTTATTTATACTATTTTTGTTTGTATTGCATGCACTGTGATGGCAATATTCTCGTCGCTTTGTTTATTTTTTTTTGACGCCTTACGCGACTTTTTTCGATTATTGTGGTTATTCAACAGCGCTATTTTCGGCCGTTGGTCGTTTTTAATACTTGTTTATACTGTAATTTTGTATTTTTCTTCGAACTCTCTAAAAAAAGGGGAAATAAGAGAATCAATAAAATGTTGACTGCACAATTGAGTGACCTGCTTAGCGGCCACACACATCGCCAGCAGGTCACGAAATATGTAGTTTTCAATATCTTTTAGGAAATGTGGGTTTTAAACCAGTTAACTATAAAGCTTCTACGAAAACAGCTTTAACACGATTTACATATAGTTAGATTTTTTGCTTTTCCTCTCGAACCACGCGGTCTTTTTTGGAGAAGTTGCGTCTGTTTTGGTTTTCCTATTTCTATTATTATTTCACACGCAAATGCACCTTTGTATGTATACTTGTGTAAAACTGAAAATATCTAACGATTTACACGCGCGCACGTTATGTTGACCGCCGCGGTTACAATTATTGATTTATTGCCACCGCTACTGCGTTGCTACGCCCAACTTACCGCTCGCTTTCCTACTTACATACCTTTGTCTTACTCGCGCTACCTTGACTCGCACGCGGGAGCTTGATCACCTCACACTTTTCGCTAATTAGACGTTACGTATTTTGCTTGCGTACGTGTGCGTGTGTGTTAAATCACATGAAAAACACGCCGAAAAACATGCGCGCACGTTTCTATTTACTTACATATAAAGCGAGAAGTGAGCGACCGCGGCGACCAACAGCGTAGAAACGTTTTAGGTTCAGCGCGTAAGTAGCCAGAAGCAACTCTACGATAGCAGCAGTAGATTTCCTAAATAGCACAGCTTATAGATACGAAATTTTTCGCAAAAACATACAAAACAAACATTTTACATATGTGTATGTACATATGTACATATATATATATATATATGGATTTCTATATATACATAATATGTAAAATGTATGTATATATAGTTGCTTGTAATACATAGACGCGCGACAGCGTTTCAAATAGCTCAAATACGCGCACGTAACAAAGTGCAAGCCACGATTTACTTTGCCACAGCCATACATATATGAATATAATGTATGTATGTTTATTATAAGTACAATTGTATATGTAAGTAACCGTATACACACGCGAAACTAATTATATTTCATTCTCACACTCGTTACTTCCAACACACTAGAGTTTCTTCATTATTTTCTTCTAAAGCGTTTCAATTTAGTATTATTAAAATTCTTAGCAACTTCTTCGATTCTGAGTAAATTTTCTTTTAAAATTCACACCTTTTCTTTTTTCTTATCCATTCATTTATTCGAGAACTATTCACTATTCACACTCACTTAAGTGGTGTTCACACGCGCTCACTAGCTCACTGTATGGTTCTGCTTGCCTTGCGTTTGTCCGGCTTATTAGCTCGCTTGCATGCGTCTTCCTCGAATGCCGTCTGCGAAATAACAAATTATTCCAATTGAATGTCGGAAAAATGTATCCGTTGGCTGGTTAGCAAGCTGGCTGGCTGGTGAGTAGGTATGTATTTGGCTGCATGACTGACTCGCTCTGGCTGGCTGGCTAGCTGGCTGATTTGTATTCTCACGAGTGCAGAGTAGATATGCGACGGCTGCACAGTTGGCGGTGGTTTGATAATTTGCGAACATATTTATGAATGATGAAATGCTAGGGTTTTTGTTATCTGCAGTCCTATTCCTACTATGGGCGCTCGCATACGAACTGTCAGTTTTTTTAGTAAAATTGTTTATCTCCAACGCCACTATGTTTTTGATGTCAATCTGGGGAAGCTCCACTGCTTGGTCTGTTGGGAGCAAACCGTCTATTGCCATACTCATTGAAAACTGACCTCATTGGAGTGCTCTGAGATTTCCGAATCATACTTAGTAAAATGAGAATTGGATACCTTAGGCGTCATCTGAGTATCTTCAAACTGTTAATATATAAATGTACCATTGGCAAATTCATTTAGGCAATGGCCCTGAAGTTATCCTTTTAATAAACTTTACAGGCTGGACAGACTAGTAACCCGTAACCCGGTGTCAGGTCATGAGGGCTTTGTTGACAACGAAGGGGCGAAAGTGAGCTCCGAAAGAATATATGGCATATCTAAGAAAATGGAGGAGCTGGGGTCTTAAAGTTTAAAAGGCAATCCAAGAGATTTCTACCACCTCTCGCTGAGTCTCTGAAAAACTCCTTAATATTAGTCAGAAAGATCTAAGAACCCTTAGTTGATGCCTGACCATGCACTGCAGGCTTACGTAGCCAATTGTATAACAGAAGCCTCTTTCGACAAAGAAAAATCATGCTCTAAAATTGCCTCATTATGCCCGTCTTTTTAAATGGCGCAGAAGCATTGGCAACGTCGAATAAAGGAAAGGCTTTCGAGAGAATCGCTCTACGCAAGATAGTCTCAATTGGTCAAAGAAGATAAAATGAGGAACGTTGGTTTGGGCATGTCGTACGTATACACAATGTTGCTCCGGTGAAAATATCATCTGACCAGGCATTCATGGAGTGATAAAGAAACCAAGGATGGCCATGGAGGCCAAGTATAGAAGGAGATGTTTCCACTTGCTATAAGAAACTGGCGCAACTGCGTAAAATAGAGAAGCAATCGGCAAAGTGTCCGGTTTCCGCCACAAACCGATAAACGATTGTGGTTCTAAAATGAGAATAAAATAAGAACAGTTCTGCTAACCTAACCGGATCTAACCTATCTCACTCTAACCCTGACATCATCATTTTTTATTAAGTTATTTAATTCTTATTCCAACTTATCAATTTTTTCACCCACTGTGCATTATTACTCGTTTAGTGGTGTGCTAATACTGCTGTTCACTCTCTACTCCTCATTCCCAGCTGAAATTTCACATGCGAGCGGCTTCGTCGTGAACATTGTTCACATACCACGACGTGTTTTTGACGTAGCGTAGCATACGTACATATATCCATACATACCTATGTACGTACAAATGTCTACTAAATGAAATTTTAAGTATACACACTAAATAGCAACAACAAACACAATGTTATCAGACAGTGAAGGCAAATACAGCAAGCAGCCCCAAAGAAAAGCAAAAACAATTTCATAGAACGTTAGTGATGGAGTTTTGATAAACAAACGAAAGAAAAACAAACACAACTCTTAAAACTAGAAACAGCAGAGCGAAAGAAATGAAATAAGAACGAAAACGGCCCCAATGTTACGCGCAAAGGCGAAGTAGTAAAACAGGCTATGTAAGTATTGTAGAAGCGATAACAACAACATAGTCAGTCACTCAGCAACTAACTAAAAACATACGTATGTACATATTTACATACATACACAAGATGCCAGCAGCCTACTCTTACTGGCCTCCCTAAATTGGAGCGCTAAGCGTTGCGTTTTGAATTGTCAACGAGGGTCAGCGCGCGCTATCCCCAAATCAACGCGGCGTGATTTTTGACGTTTTCTCATTTCCCTCGTTTTTATTCTCGAATCCTCTTTAACTTTTTTGTCCTTTCTCTTTCTTTCCGCCTTCTGCATCCAACTTCAACACGTAACATCCTGCCAGAAATGAAAATTCCATTTGCTCGGCGCTAGCGCCGCGTTATTGTGGGATGCTCCATACAAATTGTACGGGCATGAGGATTTTTGACAGTTGTTTGGCGCTTGACGCGCAAATTTAGGGACGGCAGTTAGCCTCTTTCGCCACCTCATTGCTCCACTACGCCCATCCGCCTGCCGCTTTATCGCATTTCGTGTTATCTCGTTGCACTCTCTCGGTATTTTTCAAGAGTATGTTGTTTACAAATGTACAGACATACATACATATATTCTCCTTTCATGTTGTTGCTATTCTATTTTAGCTTAGGCCTCTCGCCCTTTACATGTATGTATACAGTCTGTACATACGACACCGATCGATTGAGCCTCTGTAACAACAAAAGGGGGAAGGCGCTCTTGCGGCGCGGCAGAGGCGGTTGACCGAGGCACAACATTTTTGTGAATCACTCGTGTGTATAGCAATTACGCTTGGCTATATGTATATTGCATACATGCATACTCACTACCCCTACCCCACTCTAGACCCTTTCTTCACGATGACTATTATCGCTGTAAAATGCTGATATACTTCTTATTGTATTTGTAAATATTGCTTTCATGGCAAATAACTAGCCCTCATGTTTCCAAGTCGGTGTGAATTCTAGCGTTTCCTTTGTGTTGGTGGCTATGTATGATCCCTCTTGGAAAATGAGGAATAAATACTTCCACTTGCAAGTAAAATGGAAATATTCCTTATCCATTCTCGCGGAAACTCCGAAGAATATTAAAATTTACAATGTATCCTTCTTGCTTCTAACAGACGACGAGAGTAAAGCTTTCGCTTGGAAATAAAGTGAAAGCTTCTCGTGGAACCTCCGTATGCATTTCAAAAGAAGTTCTCTGGAATGTTTCAATATTAATTCAAAAAGAAACTTTGTGGAAAGATTTTACGTTCATTTTATAAGCAGCTTCGTCGAATGTTTCGCTAGTTTTTCTGGAATCAGCGAGAGCGAGTACTTCCCCCACCAACAGCATCGTGTGTTAAAAAGTGGGAATGTTTCATTCATTCTGCGGAATGCTCGCATTTCCTAAAGGAATTGTAGGAATATGTTCACATGTACATATATTTGTGTATGTATGCCTCCTGCAGCTGTATCGTTCTCTTTGTTTTTGTATCATTGTGTGTGTCAACTTGCGCATGGTCGGGTTTCTGCTTCAGATGCTAAGTACAGTTCCCGCTGCTGCACTGTGGGATAATTTTTTTTGGTACATTTCAAGCGTAATACCCTTTGTTACAGCAGTTATGGACTCTTTCGGAGGTCAATGATCCTGCTTGGTGACGTTTGTTTTATGGTCAAATCGGAGGACTAATGTGATGCAACGGGAATCCGGTATATTCTTCAACGATCAGGAGTTTTTGACGAATCCAGTAAGCCTTTCAAACAATGAGGGGCGCCTGTCTAGGTCCACGGATGGCTTGCTAAGAAATGACGAACGCATTCTCGGCTGTACAGGGCATTCATATGAGAAATGCTGAATTGATTCGCCATACAAAAACCACTGGAATAGCTCCTGGCTGGCGCAATTCATTGGTTCACAGACCTCTCAAAAAATCAAGAAAAATCAAAGGCAGGGATCAGTGCACGCTAAACCAGATGCCTGCAGTTACGTGAAATGTTGAGAACATTTTTTATACGGAGCTAAATTTACATAAGAACTACAAAAGTGCCAGGATCCTAAGCATAACCGATATCTTTGAGTGCGTTAAGAAACTTAACTCCCGTGAAAGATACAAGAGCTAACTGGGTACCAAGTCAAAAGGGGAAACAGGAAAAATAGGTAGCGGACAGTCTTGCAAGACAAGCAGCAGCCAACTCAATCTGCCTCGAACAAATAGTGTATGAGCATATTCACTCCCTAAGCCCGAAAGCTCTTCTGAAATTTTTGAGGGAGGTAGGCTTATATGAAGTATTGTGAATAGTAGGGAGCACCATGAATGCATACCTCATATTAATGTCTATCTACCTACCTAAGCGTGGGCTATCTAAAATTTCTTGCTGCACTAGTTATACCTTTTCTTGTAAATTCCTCATATTTTAAATTACCCTCAAGATCTCGGTGTTCAGGCAATTGAAAAATAACATGAATCCAAAGTTTTATGGATTGTTGGATGACCAAAAAACTAACTTTTTCCTCTTTCAGGAGTTCGAACTGGGAATGAAAGCAAAACAAAGTAGCTCCAAGCAGCATTGATGAAAGTACAATGGAGATAAGGAATAGGCGGTCAATAAGGTGATGGGTTCGAAAGAGAGTCCCGTAGGGACAAAGATTTTGCGGAAGAATTATGGGTCTTTAAATTTTGGCGACGACGCTTTCCAAAATAGCTCGCGTTGCGCCCGATCGCAGCGTGGCATTGTTGGTCGCATCTGTTTTCTCGGCGGCTTCGTGACATTTCTCACTGTACCAGTTGTTCTTTCGGGTTCGTTGCAATTCGACTACTACTCGCATATGTTGGTTTGTTGCTCCCTGATAGCAGGTGTGAGCGTCGAGTGGCGAATATATTTGTTATGGTTCTGCTTATCCTGGGAAAAAGCTGTGGCGGGTCAGGCATGGCCATTTCATTTCTGATTGAGGCGGGTGAGTAGATATTGAAGAATCTCGCTTTGATACGAATTGTGGCTAGACGTTCGGTCGGCGGCGGATGCTCACTCACACGACAAATGCGACACCAAATTTGCGCTCCTTTACGTGGCAACAGTAGTAGATGCCGTAAGGCCCGACGGTTTCCATGCCTTCTTGGATGGAGGGGATGCTACCCTTTGTCTTCCCTGAGAATATTAACCTGCCGGGCAGACGACGAGCGTTTGGTCGCTACCCAGACAATGCGTAGATATAATTATTTGGACGTCGCGAACTACGATTTAACCATACGCAAAATAATCACTTTTGGCCCCTCCCTGGTGAATGGCAGTCAAAAGCTTTTCCCACTTACGTGGACTTCTCCGTACGGAACTATCCTACATATACCCACATTTCCCAGCGAATTAAAAATGCTGTGGTTATGTCGTTCGAATGGTCCCAGACGTTCTAGCCCTGAAAGAATTTAACTCGGAACCCGGTAGGTAGTCTCCGAGGAAGGGAGATACCTTCTCTGCGGGAAT